GGCCTGCCCTCAAGAAGCTTCTAATCATTCGTCACATTGTGACAAGGTGACAACTGTTCTCTTCCCACAACTACCATCATGTCTTCAATGTTCTCCGAAGTCCATCATTTCAATATAACTGGTGGTCAATTCAATAATGTTCAAGGGAATCAATATCAATATCACACGGTACATTTCATTGAGTATGTTAAACTACAGGATCAGCTTATCGAAAATGTTTCAGCATGGAACAGATCTGGAAAAATTGCATCCATCATATCAAGCATTTTTTGATACAGATATGGGGGCTGAATTTTCTCGAAGTTCCTGTACCCCTGGTACAAGAACAGAGGTGCTTGAACACATCATAACCTGGGCCACCACTGTAAATAGTCATCCTCAGCAAGGCTGGGGCTATTGGATGTCTGGTATGGCAGGAACTGGAAAGACTACCATCACAATGTCTTTATGCAAGGACTTGAAAGAAAAAGGTGTTCTTGCTGCCACCTTTTTTTGCTCCCGCCAAATTCCAGAATGTCAAAATTACAGATTGATTGTGCCTACTCTGGCCTATCAGTTGGCAAACCTCTCTGGAATTTCTACAAGTTTTTCTGCAATGATTCATAAAGTTCTGGAAGGAGATTTGCATGTCATCCACAAGAAACCTGATGAACAAATTAAAAGACTCTTGGTAGAGCCTTGGAATGCAGTCAACCAACAAATGGAAATTGTACCTGTTGTAGTTATTGATGCTCTAGATGAGTGTGAGACTGTTGAATCAGTGCTTGTACCACTGGTAGCTGCGATTCAGAACAAGAAGTTGCATGGATTGAAGTTTTTCTTCACCAGCCGCCCAGAACAGGTTATTCAAGAAGGAATGGTTACTAGAATTTTAGGCTCTCAGCAAAGTCTTCAGTTGGATGAATTTGTGCTTCACCAAGTTGAATATGAGTTTGTGAAAAGAGATATTCATACCTACATTGTCAGTGAATTGCAAGATCTGTCTCTCACAGAAGAACAACTTGACAATTTGACCAATATCTCTGGGAAGCTTTTTATATATGCAGCAACAGTGATCAAAGCTGTAAAGGGCAATGGAAGGAGAAGCCAGTCAAGACAAAAAGAGAGATTGAAGACTTTCTTGACCCAGGGAAACAGCCCAGAAGATCTGAATAAGCTATATGCTGGGATTCTGGAGAGTGCAATTGCCAAAGAGGAACCTACACACTCTGAACTTCTGGAAGATTGGAAGATCATTCACACAATCATTTCTGTGGGAGCTCCACTGTCATGTCAAGCTGTATCTGAGCTATTAAGTATGGAGGATGATGACACTGTGGAGAATCTGGTCCAGAGGCTACAAGCTGTGTTTTATATTTCCCAGTCAAATAATTTGATTTTCACCTTCCATGCATCTTTTCCTGATTTCATCATTCAGTATGACCAAGTTGTATATGATGCATCCTTGCAGCATCTTGATTTAACTTTTTCATGCTTTGCAATTATGGAGAAGCTCAAATTCAACATATGTGATCTCCCATCCTCATTTCTTGCAGACTCAGAAGTGCATGATTTGGAGATGAGGATACAAAGAAATGTTGGAGAAACTTTGAGATATTGTTGCCAATTCTGGACCCTCCATCTCACCAAATGTCCTGAAACTATTGAGATTCTAGAGAATTTGGAATATTTCTTGAAGCAGAAGGGAATATATTGGATTGAAGCTATGAGTGTCATGTCATTGCTACCAAGATGTGGAGAAATATTCTATTCCCTATTAAAGGTTTGTATTCTTTTTCATTCCACTTGCAAAACTCAACTAAGATACTAGAAAATCAGCAAGTCCAAACTCATGAACAATTTCAAGCCACTGGTTAAATATCTTCACAACATACTGATACAATTTGCAAATAGCAATGTACAAGGGATGACCCCACACTTGTACCTCAGTATCATCCCCTTTTGGCAGAATGATCTTGAATGTGTGCCCCATATCAACAGATCTATTAAAATACACAAACAAGCACTGAATTGGTTCACTTATGATACAGTGATAGTTGCATCTGGTGTCAAAAGTGTGATGTTTTCACCTGATGGAACTAGATTAATTTTTGGGGGCGATGATAAAATGGTGACAATTTGGGATGCTGTTACTGGTATACAGGTGGGTAACTCCCTAGGAGGCCATAGAACAACTGTCATCACAGTAGGGTTCTCAGCTGATGCAAGTAAAGTTTTGTCTGTCTCTGATGACAGGACAATAATAATTTGGGATGTCAGTACTGGTTTTCAGGTTGGAACTCCCTTGCAATTGCAAAGCTATTTCAAGGTTCACTCAGCCAGCTTCTCACCTGATGGAACCAAAGTTGTGTTTGGTTCTATTGAGGGAATAGTCTGCATCTGGGACATGAACACTGATCCCCTCTATCTGTGGCACCATGGCAAGAGTGTTAATTCAGTAATCTTTTCACCTAAGGGAACCATAGTTGCGTCTGGATCTGATGATAGGACTATAATGATCTGGGATGCCATTACTGGTGCTCAGATGAGTTGTTTGAGCCACAATGATGGTGTGACCTCAGTATCCTTCTCACCAGATGGAACAAAGATTGTTTCTGGCTCTAATGACAAAACAATAAGAATTTGGGACACCCAGAGTGGGGTTCAAGAGGGTGAAATACAGGGCCATGATGACATTGTCCATTCAGTAGCTTTCTCACCTGATGGAGCAAGAATTGTTTCAGGCTCTGAAGATGAAACAATAAGAATATGGGATGTAAAGACTGGTGATCAATTGGGTGATTCTCTAAAAGTTGATAACAATAGTTTTCATTCGACAAGCTTTTCACCTGATGGAACAAAGATTGTGTCTGCCTCCTATTTTGGTCCAATAATGATCTGGGATGCCAGTGCTAATCTCCAGCATGAGGATTCCTTGCAAGGTCATGACAGCAATATTTCTGCAGTAGCTTTCACATCTGATGGATCTGGAATTATGTCTAGCTCTTGGGATGATACAGTGAGAGTTTGGGATGCCAACACAGGTGTTCAAATTGCTCAGGTTGGTGTTCCTATGAAAGGGTGGGGAAATATCAAATCAATTATTCTCTCACATGATCAACCCAAAGCCATCTCAGGCCATGATGGCAACACACTCATCATCTGGGATGTCAATACTGGTGCTCAAATTGGTGAGCATCTACAGGGCCATGAGAACTTTATCAACTCTATAGAGTTTTCGAATGATGGTACTAGGATTGTAACAGGTTCTTTAGATAATACAGTGAGGATTTGGGATGCCAGTACTGGAGCTCAGGTTGGCAATCTTGTATGGCCACAGCGCAAATCTGATGATACCATTCTAAGGGCATTTTTCTCATCTACTGGGACCAGAATTGTTTCAGGCCATTCAAATGGTACAGTAAGAATCTGGGATGCCAGTACTGGTGTTCAAATTGGCAACCCTATAAAGTGTCATAGGTCTGCTGCAGTTGCAGTTTTTACACCTGATGACACTAGAATTGTGTCCAAGTCAACTTTTGATGCTACATTGAGAATCTGGGATGCTAGTACTGGTGTACGAATTCAGAATCTTCCAGGGAATTTTGATATGATGCAGCCACCTACAGCAATGGCCTTTTCACCTGATGGGAATATGATAGTGGTTGGTTGTAAGGACAAGACATTGGGGATCTGGGATTTGAATACTGGTTTTCAGATTGGTGATCCTTTGGGAGGTCATGATCTTGATGCTCAAGCAGTAGCCTTTTCACCTGATGGAACTAGGATTGTATCTGGTTCTCCAGACAAAACAATCAGAGTTTGGGATATTAGTAATGTTATTCAGCATCATGAGGGTGATGTCAATCCAAGTGTTCAAGTAGAATATTCCAAAGGTAAGTTTATCAAATTTCGGATAAATATCAACTTCTAATGTTTTACTACACATCCACAACAGACAATGATTGGAAATTAGCATCAGATGGCTGGATACTTGTTCAGAATATACCAATTGTCTGGATTCCACCCCAATTTCGCAAGCTTCTATGGACTCCTAGGACTACGTGTATTATCTCCCAGAATGGATATAGCAGATTTACATTCAAAGACTGTGTTGTTGGGGAAAAGTGGACTCGTTGTATTGAATAGATCTTATCAGATTGATGGGATAAAATCATTGAATGATACCATTATTTTTTGCCTTAGTAGAGTAAACAAGGAGAAATTCTGATACTTTTGTGCATCCTATTCAGTAAGTGCTTGGAATAAGCAATATATCTAAATATAAGAATGTTCAGAACAAGATAAGTTTAGAGAAGAAAAAAGAAAATTCAAGCAGTGTCAAGATTCCTTGGTAAGCAACTTGTTAACAGGAGAATGGACAATAGACTTGGGGAAGATAACTTCTGTGTTGACTGAGGGAGATTATTATGAATATTGGTATGTGGTATAATTTCCAAAACTCAACAGCAAGAACATGTTGGTACCAAGTATTGCCCCCAGGCTGGCCTTTGGTAAAGTGCACATTCTCTCAAGAGGTAACACTCCACTTTGACTTATGTGTAATTCAGAACCCAACAGAAAGAGTCATTGAGCCGCAAAAAGAAGAATTGAGTCAAGTAAGCAGCAAAGTGTGATTCATAACAGCACATATTATATAGAGAAATGTGGTAAAAGTAAGTATGATACTGATATGACCTCAACTTCTGAAAGCTCAAGAATCATACCCAATGCATAGAATATATACCATTTTTCTCTGCCAGTATTGTGCGCCTACAAGTTTAAGCTTGGAACCATATATGAATGAGGAAATTAGAAACATCATAATATGTTCGCAATTTTCTGTATGCTGCAGTGGTTTTTTAACCCAAAAACCTTGGTGTACACTAAGTACACCTTACGCTTGATCTGATGTGCGAGACGGAAATGGGGCTTAGTTACAACCGCCAGAATAACATGAAAATGGTTAGCAACAGTAGTCACATCAGGATTGGATTTACAATATCGTCTTCAGTGCAATATCCCTGGTAGTATATCGGTTAGTACACGCGCCTGTCATTAGGTGGTGGCGTTCGCGCGAAAGCTGGGTTCGACTCCCAGCCAGGGAGCGTTCCTGTTTTCCTTTTGAAGTTTTTTTTTACCCTATTCTATTTAGAATCCTTGACTGTTATTGTACGAAAGAATTCATTTTTCGTGTAGCAAATGCTTGTACGTTGTTGTATTTGTGGGTGTGAGAGGATAAGCGCCACGGCATTTCTGTTCCGCGCCAAAGCGAGCACCCACAACCACAACCAACCACCACGAGTCCGACGCTCATTTTCTCTCACTCATAGAACTTAATGCACTCTCATTAGACATCAATACGCCACTCAAATTCCAGCTCATTGGCCGCCCCAGTAATGAACTTTTCCTCCGTCTCTTCCACAGCGGACCCACCTCTTGGCACAATAGTAGAACTTTCATCTGGAATCGGCACAGGCGTCGTCAGATTTAGCGGGTATACGGACTTCAAACCTGGAAAATGGGTTGGAGTTGAGCTGTTTGAGCAGAATGGGAAGAACGATGGGAGTGTCGGTGGATTGAGGTACTTTACTTGTAAAGGAGGGATGGGTTATGGAGTGTTCGTTAGGGGTAGTCAGATAAAGAGGGTTGTGGGGAATGAGAGGGATACTCAAACAGAAAGGAGGCCTAGTTCAACGGCGGCGACAACGATGTTAGGGACAGCAGCAGTAGGTGCAGCACGCGTACCACGACCAACACTCGGTCATCAACGGACTTCGAGTCTTGGGAACGGTCTCAATACCTCGTCGTTGCGCGTTTCGCCGGCCTCGGCCTCGGCATCAGCGTCGGGATCTAGTAGTCGCTCTGCTAGTCCAGCTAAACCGTCGTCGTCGTCGTCGATGCAGACCATGACTCGACTAGGATTAGGAGGACAAGTTTCACCTTCTAAGAGGTCTTCGTCCAATTTGTCGAATTTAGCTTTGTCATCTTCAACGACGACGAGGCTAGGACAGACGACGACGACGAACCCAGGACAGGCGACGATGAGACCAGGTCATCAAGCTAGAAGGTCTATCTCGTTGAAACAAGCTCCTACACCGTCGTCGGCTTCGCATCCTCCGAGAGTGTCGTCACCATTGACGAAATCGCCTAGTCCGGTGCCACCGTCATCTGCCGTCCCTGTTTCCGCACCTTCATCGTCTGTGTCCGCGTCGGCAGCAGATCCCGTACCTTCCGTCTTACCATCTGCCGTTCCTGCCGCTGTTCCCGCTTTCCCTGCCACTCTCCCGGACACCCATCCCCAAATCCACGCTCTCCTAACCAAAATCCGAGTTCTCGAAACCAACCGATCCTTGGACACCTTTCAAATTCAATCCCTTGAAGCTAAACTTGCCGAATCTTCCTCTTTCCTGTCTTTACGTCCAAAGCTACAAGCTAAGCTTCAATCACAGCAAAGTGAAATTACTTCTCTTAAGCAAGAACTTAACGAGTTAAGAAATCAGGTAAAGGTATGGGAAGAAAGGAAAGATGTTGTTGAAGGAGAATTGGAAATGTGTTTGTTGGATAAGGAGATGGCCGAGGAGACTTTAGCGGAAGCGAGAGGGGAGTTGGAAGGGGTGAAAGAAAGGCTGGGGGAATTGGAGGTCGAGGTGGAGGTGTTGAGAGAGGAGAAGGAATTATGGGAGCTGGAGAATGACGGGGAGGTGTCTGCTAGAAACGAGGGAGGGAAACAGAAAGATTCACTGGCGTACATTCAACTGGATAAACAGAACGAACGACTGAAAGAAGCGTTACTTCGTCTGCGTGACATGACACAAGAAACTGACCAAGATCAGAGGAGGAGAATTGCAGAAATGGAGAAGGATTTGACGAACTACGAAGAAATGCAATGTGAGTTCCTCCACCGCTTCTTTCATACTATCAACTCATATTAAAACTATCTACGTCTTATACAGCCCAACTATCTACAACAACCGTAAAACTGTCTAATGCCGAAACTCAAATCGAGGATCTCAAACTTCAATTGGACGACGCCCTTGGAGCAGAAGATATGCTCGTTCAGTTGACTGAGCGCAATTTGGTTTTAGGGGAGGTGAGGTTTCCTTCGTTCTCGTTATTTCAGACTTTCGGTGTTTTTTTCTCTTTCGATATTTAACTCACCAGCCCTTCCACCTCGTTTACAGAAAATTGAAGAAATGCGTATTACCATCGAAGACCTCGAAGCGCTCAAGGAACTTTCTGATGAGCTGGAAGAGAATCATCTAGAGACAGAAAAGGCGTTGCAGGTGGACATAGGTATAGTTTTCTTCTTCTTGGTTCTTTCTTTACCTTTGCTTTGCTTTCTCCCTGTTTCGTTCGTTCTTCGTATGTAATCTGTCCTTTCTTCCCCGGTCCTTTACTTTTCCTTTACTCTAGCCCATCGCTAACCCTCCTTCCCACTTTCAATCCCGATAGAAAACTTCAAAACCCAACTCGCATCGTCCCAGCTCAAGATCTTAACTCTTTCTGATACCTGCGCAGATTATGAGGGTACAATTGGGCAGTTTAGAGATTTGGTTGTCCAATTGCAGGGGTGCGTCGTGTTTCTTGTTTTCCTGATTTCAGATTTTCTGCAAGAGTACAGGTCCTTTTCGAGTTATTTGTGACTTCTTTGTAATGTCGAACTTCTTCCGAGTTTTTCGAGTATGCTGGGCTGGAGAGAGCCGTAAAGAACTTTTGAGAGCTTCTTGACCTATTTCTTTTGTTTTCTCTTCTGTACTTCGCGGTTTCTGATTCTCGGTGCCGGGAAATACTTCTTCGTTTCGAGCTTCTGAAGGTTCGCCTAGCCAATTTTCGTTCGTTCGTTCGTTCGTTCGTTCATTGGTTCCTCTTGTCGTTTACTTTCTCGCCTTCGTTGTTTGTCTTCCGTCCATTCGTTCCCCTTTTGTCTTGTGCTTTGCGAGTGTTTCGAGCTTTCTCGAGCGGCTTAACGAGGACTACTTCGAGTGGAGTGAGCGTGTGTTTGGTTGCATTGCTAGTCAGAAGACTCGTTGGAGAATTTCCTGCTCTAAGAATCTTTCGTTCGTCATTCGTTTCACTTCACTCGTCCGCCCTCCTTCTCCGTTCATTCATCGCTTTATCTGTTTCTTCGCGTCGTCCATTTCATTCCCCTTTTTCTTTCACCCTCTCTCCCCGCCGTTTATCAACTTATTAACATGTAACCTCCTTTTCTCCCCTTCCAGCGAGCTCAACGCTCTCCGTCTCTCCTCCGCCTCCTTCCAATCAGCCCACTCAGAGGCCCTTTCCCAAACAGCACTCATCCTTTCTGCGAATATCCGACTACAATCGAATGCTGCGAAATCGCGTGCGAGGGAGGTCGAAGTGGCGTTGGGAAAGATGAGGGAGAGGGAGTTGAAGGAGGAGTTGGAAATTGTAGAGGGCTTCTTGCCTGGCGTGTACCGGGAAGGGGTTGTGGTGGAAGAAGTAGGAGCAGATAACGCGAGTACAGGAGCACAGCGGGTCGTGGGGGCTGGAAGTACTGAAGGACATGGGCATAGTCACAGTCAAAGCCAACCTGAATTCGCAGGCACAAGCGCAGCATCTGGACCAGTATCAGGGTCCACTCAAGTCTCAGGCAACGACCGTGATGCACTCCGCGTATACATGTTTTTCCAGCGTATCGCTTCGAAAGCGGATATCATCAATAGTATCGTTGCGCAGACGCATAATTTGCCTGGGGCGCTGGACTTGGGTGATCCCGGAGAAGGAGATGTTACCGATCATCCGGGTGATGGACATGATTTAGGAAAAGAGGGCGTAAAGAAAGAAGGAAAGGTTGTCACAGAACAGTTGGTTGGTGTTTGTGAGATGCGGGGGAGGTTGTCTGTGTGCGTCCTTTTCTCCTCTCTTCTTCATCCCGTTCTCCTTCTAAAATGCAGTCTCTTCTCGCAGCCTCTCAACTACATGCAAACGCCTCTCAGCCATCCTTCGTCGTTCCTCCCCAGAGCTGTGGATCTCCATTGGGAGGTTGTATGGGGAGTTGAAGCCTCTGGAGAAGAGGATGGATATCCACGTGGATCTACTGAGGAGAGATGAGTTTAGGGAGAGGGAGTGTGTTAGTGATGTTATCAAGTGAGTTGATCGTTCTCGTTTCCATAGTTTTCGGGACTGTCTGCGTTTGTTCGTCTGTTTGTCCAAATAAATCTGACACGAAACGATTTTTTCAGGATCAACGCTCAGTTCAGCCACCTTGCAGAGATGTATTTCGGGAATTATTTCAATGGACAGTTGTCTGGGTACGTTTTTCTTGTTCCTAATCTTGTTGTTATTCCTCCCACTAATCTTAGTACTCTGATTCCTCTGATTATCCTATACTTTGGACTCATATTCATATCTTGAATTCTATTAATCTGTAAATACGATTGATATATCGCCTTCTCCTTCGACAGCTACGACATCGCCGAACGCCAACTCGGTACCCTCACCTTGTTCGACCTGGACCTGGACATGTTTGCAGCGAGCATTGGAATGATGAAGACTAGTGTGGAGGGGTTGTTGAAGGAAGAAGGTGAGTAATTGATACTTTCCAGAATATTTTCATCTCGTCGTGAAATTGTCGTCTGACCATATTGCTCATAAAACTCAACATCTATTCTGTTATCCCCAGAATTTGCCGCCGACGCCGACTTTGGCGGGTTCGACATCGAATCGGAACTCTACACTCCGTTGTTGATGTTGCTTTCGAGGTCAAAAGCAGCGAAGACGTCTGCGCGGAGAATAGCGAAGAGGTTGGAAGAGCTGGCTTCTGGCTCCACTTCTACTTCTACCGCCAGCACAAACACCTCGTCATCGTCAGGTGCCTCAGCAGCCCTCAAAGCCCAGCTCCTCCCTCAAATGGAAGCACTAAGCAATACCGTCCAAGAACTTGTTAATTTCGGAATAAGCCTAGCTCAACAAACGTTACCTTATCTTGACGATGTACGAAGTGGAAAGACTTCATTCAAGTTGACGGTCATTCTAGGGTTCGCGAAACAGCAGGCAGGACAGATTAATCTTCAACAAGGTTCCACCACCACGACAACGACTGGGAGCTCGTCGTCGAAGACAATGTCGACGATAAATTTCAAACCGGGAATCTTATGGTGGGAAGTAGTAGGGGATATTATAGAGCATTTGATACAAGATTCAGCGCGGTTATTACCGTTTACAATGGACCCGGTGAACGTTTTCTCCAACACCGTAAACTCAACTCCCCCACCATGGATTCACCGAATTCAAACCGTACAAGCCCTCCTCTCCTCCTCTCTTTCCTCCGCGTTTACCCACAAAATCTCATCTCTTAAATCCGACATCCTATCACTCTCCCGTTCCCTAAAAACGAAAGACCAGCTTCTCGCCGAATTGAACGTCAAAATTCAACTTCTTGAGAGGAGAGCAGAAGGAAATAAAGAAGAAGTGAAGAGGATGGAAGGAGTTGTTAAGGAGATGGAAGGAGAGGTGGGGAGGTTAAGGAAAGTTGAAGCGGGGTATGAGGAGGCAATGGAGCAAATGCAAGGAGAAGTGGAAACGTTGGAGAGGGAGGTTGGGAGGTTGAGGGGGCTGGGCGTAAGTGTCGGTGGTGTGTCGGTAGCAGCTAGTGAACAGCCGAAAATCGGGGCTGAACAGGAAGGTGCTAGTGCGATTATGAGTGCGGGGGTTATGGCGGAAGTGAATTTAGATCAAGCTCAGTTGTTGGATCAAGTACGTATTACTTTCATTGCTCTTTTTTTGCTCTTGCTAATCATGACATACTTGCAGTATACTGCTCTGAGAAACACTGTTCGTTTCCTACGAACGGAAAACGCTTATCTTCGTGGCCATGACCTCATTAAGGAGATGCAGGCGTTGCCTGTTATTCCTGAACCTCGATTACAACGGTCTGCGACGCCGGCGCTGGAGCCTTCAGGGCTTTCGGATACAGATACCGAGGAAGAAGGCAGCGAAGATACAGATACAGACGAGGTTGATACTTCCACTTCAACCAACATTTCTGCAAACACGAAATACCAGAACCAGAAATCCTCCCTCCCACTTTTGACAGAAACGAAATTACTCTATCGCTCAGTGATGAGATATTCTTCGTCCCCGCGTGTGGTGGACCTTTCCGAAGTTAATGAGAGACGGTTGGAAGTTAGTCGAAGACGAGGTATAGGGAGGAGCGGTAACTTTGATGGTGAAGGAGCGATAGAAAACAACGACAAGACAGAGAAGATCGACAGGCCAGAAGCGTCTAATATAGGTGTTCTGGAAGGTCAAGGTACCAAATTGAATGCCAACCCAAAAATCCACACGGAGAAATCATCCGATTTCCCAGAAATAGCACCCCGTCCCAGCGGTGTATGGATGCCCCGAAAACGGATGCCTGCTCATCAGCTCTTGGAGAGGAGATTACGAGGAGAGAAGCTCAATGAGCGGGTGAGAGGGTTGGTGGAGAGGGTTGAGAGGGCCAATGTTGTTAGGATCGGTGTCGTCAGAGTATAGTCTTCATTGATATACACCCACTATGATAAATACCCTATGCTACTTCTAGTTTATACCATAATCTATTTCTTTCTGAGGCTCTGAATTGTGTTTTACTCCTTCCTTATTTTGCGCATATCAATTGCTTTGTTTGTCAAGCTTGTGGTTCGAAAGTCGCACAGTTCAAATGGAAAGAAAAATAAAAGAAACCTACGAAGACCGTTAAAACTCCCTGGCTGGGAGTCGAACCCAGCTTTCGCGCGCACAATTTATAATGACAGGCGCGTGTACTAACCGATATACTACCAGGGATTATATTTGTCACAGGCCACTAGATGTAGATCATCTGATCCTGTTCGCTGTATCTTGCAGTTGTCTCGAGGATACACCTCAGGTACAGTAACAGGAAGATATCCCAACCTGGAAACTTTAACCTCTTGAGTTTGACAATAGGGGCTCCTCGATATCTAGTCTGAAAGGCCGGGAAACCCACCATTGACAATGTCCCTTTGTAGCTGCAACCGTATTAGTCCTATCAAATTCCACTGTTTCGAAATTATTGATTCAATAGCAGTGGGTTTTCCCTTGACATGCCAATCGGTACCTCTCAACCGTTATTTTCAGATAAAGATATATGAAGTTTGAGAGAAAGACTGACATTATATTGAACAAAGCGGAGGGACAATTCAAAGGACTACTTACTGGGAGAGCCTTAGTATGCAATCTTTTTCTGTATACAAGCGCCTCATATTGGTGGACTTTTCTGAGCTAAGGTAACAGTCTAGAAGATCTGAATAAGCTGTATGCTGGGATACTAGAGAGTGCATTTGAAAAAGAGGAGCCTACACAAGATGAACTTTTGGAAAATTGGAAGATCATTCATACAATCATTTCTGTGGGAACTGTTGAAATAATATAACGCTTACGTGTATTAACACGGCGGATCACGGACTATTGATTGTAAAAACTATTCTTAGTACTTACACCAATATCGTACACGTTACTGTTGTAAAAATAACAATCATATTTACTTACAACGTTGTAGGCTGCTTTATGATCCTACCGTTACTATTGTAACTTATCTTAGGGTATGAATATGTTGTTATAGGGTTAAGTAGTTTAGGTATAAGTACTGTGGTACTTCTTGTGTTAAGGATAATTCATCCAGTTCTACTGCTGAATACTCAAGCTCTACTCAAGCTACTAAACTCTTCTCTCCACTTCTCGTCTCACCACTCAGTGAGTAGTCACAACTGCTCCATCTTACTCACCACTGTTTCAACAGGTTATGGGCCCCGAGATGCTTCGACACTGGTCGTAAACCATTGCATGTTTGCGAGTGGTTGATCATGTCACATGAGGCTTTTGGCGACTCTCTCTTGAGTGCTATAAAGGTTTTCATGTGGTGCGACAAGGTCATGGTATGGTAATTTCCAGATTATTTTAGTAGAACTACATCCCCATGTACTATGTACATATCTGCCTTGCTTGCTAACACAGTATGTACATAGGCATCCCACATCAAATGAACTTTTGCAGTTCTCACCTTTACAGTGGTCCATGTTGGGTCGATCCCCACCCCAGGTAAACTTCTGCCAGTGTGTGAATAATCAAAAGCACATCTGCATAGGCTGGGCAAATGCAAATGTGTTATATCTATGCAAGCTAAGTCTTTATGAAGCTTTGCGAACCATTCCGCTACTGTGGTGATGAAGGGGGAAAGCACAGAGAAGGCACAGGCTCGAAGCACAAACCGAAGTGAGGGGTGGGGCTAGCACCGCACATGAAGGCTGAAAGATAAAATGATCAAGACGGCAGTGATAGTGCAGGGGCCAATCACTAGGGTCGCACAAGGAAAACTAGTTCCAAAGACCAAGTAAATATATTGAAGGTAAACGATGATACAGGTACTAACCTAGTTCCAAAGACCAAGAGGTCAAGATGGGGAACTAGGTGTCAGCTACTGTACTATATATACAAGGGTTCGGATGAGTAAGCGACAGCGCGGGAAGCCAATAGAAGTGTCTGGAATGTGATGGAAGGTTCTGACAAGTGATAGATGGAAATAAAAGGATATGGAAACATGGAGAAGGGTTCAGGTAGTCACAAAGGTAAAGGAAAGAGGGAATGTAGGAGAAAACAAAGTAAGTACCGTATCCTGTATGGCATGTCACGACATTACCCCCCTTCTACAGTCGATGTCCCAGTGACTATTTCCATGAGGTTTTCATAAGGTTGCCAGGGTAAAGAGTTGAAGATGGCCGCTGAAATTTTTTGTGGTGCATTTGAGTGTTTTGCGTAAAAATCTGCGATTGCCTCATCGCTTGTGCCCACTAAGTTTTCTTCATGCTCCCAACTGTTGTGGCCTTCGTCGTAACCCTTCCACTTTACCAGGAATTGCAACTTTTTCCACCGTCCAAAGATCCGACTGTCCAGGACCTCCTCCACATCGTAGAACTCTTCTCCCTCTACAATTTTGGGCTCCGGTGGTGGTGGCTCGATTCCATTGACTTCATTCCCTTTCCAGGGAGACAAGCGGTTGGTATGGATGTTATTGTGGATTTTCATCCAGGTAGGTAGGTGTAATTGATATGTGAGTGGGCCCGTTTTCTCTGCGACTTCAAATGGACCTAGGTGTTTGCTCCCCAGTTTCTGGTTCTTTTGCCGTACTTTAAATTTGCTCAGGGATAACCAAACCAGTTGTCCTACTTTGAATTCCTGTACTTTTCCCTTTACTCCCTCTCGGATGCGCTCCTTGCTCATCCGTAGTGCTGCTTCTGCATCCTCGCGTGCATGCTGTAGCAGTTCTAGCCGACGCTCGATGGATGGGTATTTTGTCTCGACGCCATTTGGAATGGTGAACTCCGGGGTGTAACCGTAAAGTGTTTCGAAGGGGGAGTGGTTGTGTGCGGAGTGGATGCGAGCATTCATGACAAACTCGGCAGTAGGAATTAAGAGGTCCCAGTCGTCCTGTCAGCGACTTATGTACATGCAAATGTAACGTTCGATTTCCTGGTTGGCGCGTTCTGTCTGTCCATTTGTCTCAGGGTGATACGCTGTGGTCAGGGCAGAGTCAATTCCTAGTCGCTTCAGTAGCTGGTGCATGACGTCTGCCGCAAATTGGGGTCCTCTATCAGAGATGAATCGATGAGGTAGGCCATGTAAGCGGAAGATTTCTTTATAAAAGAAATCTGCTACTCCTTCTGCAGTTATCTCAGTTGTACAGGGGAAACAGTGAACCATCTTTGTGTAATGGTCAACAAAGGTGATGATCGCATTATGGCCATCCTGTGTCATGGGCAGTTCCCCAATAAGATCTACACCAATGTCCTGCCAGGGTCCTTCCGGTATGGGGAGAGGTTGAAGGGGTTTAGGCATTTGCATTGGCAGTGATCACATCCATCGACGTACTTGTCTACGAAAGAGCGCATCCCAGGCCACAAGTAGAGTCTGCTGACTAGTTCCAGGGTACCATGCATCCCTGGATGACCTGCGGTAGGTGCGTCATGACAGTGTTCCAGGATTGTTTTCCTTAGCGCGGTGTCTGGTGGAATGTAGACTTTGTTATGGTAGTAAACCAAACCATTTTCTTCTCTCCACTCGGCTGGACCACTGGTGAGACTCTGGGGACCTTTGATACCTTTCAGACCATCCAGTACTTCAGCCTCTCGGTTGCTGATCTGCCAAATGCGGTCAAGGAGGGGATTGTGGAGGAGGACCATGGTTGCCGCATTAAGGAAGTGTTCCGGTTTTAGCATGATCTGTTCCCTGTTGTCCTCCGCATCTGTGACCTGGTGCTGCGCCATATGGGACAGTGCATCAGCTTGAGTGTTAGCTTTGCCTGGGCGATGTTTAAGGTGGAAATCAAACCGAGAGAGCCATAGTGCCCATCGTGCCTGTCAACGACTGAGGTCCTGGGCTGTCTTCCAGTATCTGAGGTTCTGGTGGTCGGTTATGATTTCAAAGGGTTCCGGGGATCCTTTAAGAAGCTTCTCCAGTCTTTCAATGCCTCGATGATGGCCAGCATTTCCCAGTCATATATTTCGTAGTTTCGCTCAGCTGGATCCATGGAGGAGGAGCGATATGCAATGGGGTGCCAAAGTCCATCCTCCTGTAGCTGCAAAAGTGTACCTCCAGTAGTGAAGCCTGATGCATCCACTTCAATCCGAGTTGGTTTCGATGGGTCCCATAGCGTGAGGATTGGTGCCGATGTGAAGGAGTCCCTTAGGGAATCAAAGGCCTCCTGCTGTTCTGAACCCCAAGCCCATTTAGTGTCCTTGCGGGTGAGGTTGTTTAGGGGTCGAGCTTTCTTTGTGAAACCTTCAATAAATCTCCGATAGAAGTTAGCAAATCCCAGGAAGCCTCAGAGATCGCGTAGCGTTGTAGGGGCCTGCCAGTTACTAACTGCCTCTATTTTGACTGGGTCCATTCGCACTTCTCCTTCACTGATTACCAAGCCTAGGTATTCGATGGAAGGCCGTTCGAATTTGCATTTCTCTGGTTGCAGATAGAGGTCATATTTGCTGAGGCGTGTAAGCACATCGTTGACTATACTCTGATGTTCTTCAAGAGTTTCAGTGAAAACCAGGATGTTGTCCAGATAGACGGCCACCTTCCCAGCTGCAATGAGGTCAGCAAATATGGAGTTCATGAGGGCTTGGAACATAGCGGGTGAGTTTGTTAGGCCGAAGAACATGATGAGGGGCTCGAAGAGTCCTCGATTTGTTGCAAATGCTCCCTTCCATTCGTCACCCTCTTTAATCCACACATTGTTATACCCCCAATGAACGACCATTTTGGAGAAGACCTTGGCTTTACGTAGTTGGCTGATGATGTCCATGACGAGGGGGAGTGGGTACCAATTTTTCACTGTGTATTCGTTGAGTTGCCGGTAATCCTGCACAAATCGAAGTTTACCATCCTTCTTTTTGACAAAGAAGACAGGCGACGCCAGTGGGGATTTGGAGGGGCAGATGTAGCCTTTGCACCGATTCTCTTCCAAGAACTGATCAAGCTCTTCCTGCTCATTCGGGGACATGGGATAGATTTTGGTCCACATGGTTTCAGGAGCATCCGGTTTCAGATCTATGGCATGGTCCCAAGGTTTATGTTCTGGTAGTTGCTCTGATTCTTTCTCGGAGAAGAACTTTGCGTGTTTCTGTCAGGAACGACTAACACTACGAGTAACTCTTAGCGTGTAGGCGCCTGTCGTAGGGCGCTTGTGTCCTGTGACTGGGCGTCTGGATATTCTAGTTCTTCGTTTTCCTTTACGCATTCTACATTACTCATCGGGTCCCGTACTCGGTTATGAC